GACAGCTCTGGTATAGCATTTATCAAACATCAAACTGTTGTTCCGTTCATGCGCTCGGGTTACGAAATGATGAATCCCAGATCTTTTCATTATCTACACTTTCTGTCCAGAGGGGCTGATCTGCCAGTTCTTGCTCAAACAAATAAACATTGTGAGTACCAGAATTTTGCCTGATAACTTATGATAATACACGAAGTATCAGCAGTGAAAATGCACAAATTCTTGCCACAGAGATGGAGCCTTTTTAACAGACAGGAATTCATGTTCTGATTTCTGCTCATGTGGTCTGAAGAATTTGGAATATTTAGCCTACTGGCTCCCTGACAGTAAATCTTACTCTGATAGGGAGCACTATAATTGCTGAGCAGTCTTCACTTAGGGTGGAAAGGCAGTTATAGTCTTGCTGCTTATTCCACCGCATTCACATCCTGTGAAAGAAGTACTTGCCTGAAACTGTATTTGTAGTACTTCTTTAAAGTTTTGAACAAAATGTTTCCTCAGTCTGAATTTTCAGGCTAGGTAGAAAGCTGTCAGTGATCTTTCCAAAGGTTAGTCCTGTACAAATCAAATCCTTTTCTTCTAGGTCACTTACAAAGAACCTATTCAATCCTCAGTTTGGGAGCATATTCCGAACTTTCCACAACCCAACCTACTTCTCTCGAAGGCTGGTCCGGTTCTCAGATATCTACATGGCATCCATCAGCTGCCTGCTGAATTATGATGTGAACTTCACCTTTTACCCCCGGCGTACCCCTCTGCAGCACGAGGCTCCACTCTGGATGGATCAGCTCTGCACAGGCTGTATGAAAACCCCCTTTCTAGAGGAGATGGTGCATATTCGATGAAGAGGAATATATTCTGGCTAGAATTTACAACAGCATTATGCTATAGTTTGTTCAAAGGGTCAGGCTGTGTGACTACAGAGTGTCTCACTGACTGCTATAATAGGTGATATAAAGTTCATGTATGTTTGTGTGTGTTGTCCCTAATCCTCACTGTACCTTCACTTCCAGTGCTTCAGATATCTACCTGGGTAACAGATATTTGGTGCTTGAATTTAACTACTTTGTAACTGGCAAAGCATTCTCAAAATTCTTCTAAATAGAAGTGAAACACATTTCTGACCATGGGAAGGTTTATATTTGCCTTCATAACTATGTAAACTGTAATGGTTCATCTTAACTAGAATTGGCCTGATTCTCAGTGGCATGTTTGAGAAGTTTATTCAGCAATTCTGCAAGCTGAGTAACTTCTAATTGGGCACCTAAATAGTGATTTTGGTCTCTAACTTTTTTAGGCCACCTGACACACTGGCCAACTTTTTCCACATTTTGTAGAAACAGTACAGAGTGAGCAGTGAAGAACAGCACATAAGACTGTTACGTACACTGCTTAAATTTGATATAAAGATCATGTATTTGTTCACTTTTTTAATCAACAATTTCACTTAATCTAGATAGACATGCCTTGTAACAGGAGAGTTCAAAATGGACTTGAAGTTGAATTAGTTACTTATAACATAATTTAATATTTTGGTCATCTCCTAGTATCCTATATATATTTGAAGTGTGTGCACAAACAATTCCAGTTTAACTAGAGAAATCTATTAAAGCAGAAATTAGTGTCACACAGGCTTTATTATACAACACAGATGTAGACTCTTTAATAAACTAATGTTTTATGCTTGTAATGTACTAACTGGGCCTTATTTTGGTTTCATTGGCCAAGTACATAATAGAAATAACTTTACCAAAGCTTTACCAGTATAAAACTGTATGTGGAATCAGAATCTGATCCAATGTTGTTCTTGGTTTATTTGTAGATTTGTTTTGAAGAGATTATTCTAATTCAGGAGTGGGGAAAGACGGGAGCAGAAAACAATGCATAATTTGTGATCAGCACAGTATTAGGTTGGCTGATCTCAGATATTTTTAAAATAAGCTTTTCTTTTTCTTTTTGGAAGATAAGAACATTGATATTGACAGTTGTTCAGCTGATGTGGGGTACTTTGTGCCAAACTTTTCTACTAGGTACATTGGACAATGATATCTACCACACAAAGAACAACCACTATGCTGCTGCCTTAAGATGAAATACTTCGTGTGCCCTCCCCAACCAAGCTAGTGGAGTTCTGGCAGAGAGGGAGCCGTTGGTGGCTCCACTAGAAGTCTAATGAGCAACTTCTTGGAGCAGGTCAAGATTTCTTCCTTCCTTAAAAATGGTGGACTGCACTGTCACTCTGGGAGGAAACAGGTTTCTTCTTTTAAGAGCTGATACAGGGTAGGGGACACAGCAGTGTTCTTTTGTAGTTGGTTGCATTAAAAATATAAACCAAGATTAGCAGGCAGACAGACCAGCACTACATGGGTCCCTAGTGCCCAGCTCCCAGCCCTGGAGCAGGATTGTGTTAGGCTGAGCAGTTCACCTACCCCACATTTCCGCCATTTTAAGGAAAAAATATAAAAAGATTCTGCATGGCTTCACTAGTATTAAGTTGACGGCGAGACTACACCAGCAGTCAGTAAGTGCTAACAAACATGCAACTCCTACTACTGATCGGGTGAAAACTTTAAATATGCATTTATGGGAGAATGCTGAATAAGTCAGCCCTATAAATGACCCCGTGGATTAAAGAAAGCTAGTGTGTTTATTATGGTATGATTTAGTTTTATTGTCTGTGTACTGTATTATTTTTGTAGAACTTAGTGAAAGGTCAAGCTGTCATTACAGCATCATGGTAGATCTATTGAACCTATAGCAATTAAGTGCATTTTGTTGGGGCCAATCATGCACTTAAGACGGTGTTTATTCCTAGATTTGTAAAACTGCATATTTCAATGAACAAAATATCTGTGACTGTCATTTGAAATAATGGCATCTTTCATCCTAAAAAAAATACCTTTTTTTTTCATTATAACATATAAAATGGACAGCCGGAGAACATTAGAATATAAGCAAAACAATGTGGAAAGTGAGCCTTGTTGCATTTCAAGTTACTTCTAGACTGAATATAGAGAATTTTTAGAGCACTCTTGCTTATTAATTATGAATGGATAAGGATGGAAGCTGCCTTCATGTGCAATTATGGAAGAACTACTAATTAAGTTTTGTATAGGGGGGGAGTTTTGTGTGCCAACTACACATTCCCTCAAAACCATAAATATTAAGCTAAGCAAGACCTTTCAGTAGGATTACTCCAATGCCATAAAACAATGGTGGTACAGCAGCTAGGAGTACAGTGCCTAAAATATAATAATTTGAATATTTCTGATAATGGATAGAAACCATTATTCTTAGTAACATCTGTAGAGAGCATTAGTATATGAACAGGGCATTTTTTTTTCTAGTGAATGTGTTGGATGGTTTCCTTTTTTATTTTACTTATTTTTTTTATTTGTAGTACTCTAGTCTAGAGGTCAGCAACATGGCCCTCAGGCCAGATTCAGCCTCTGGAGTCATTTGGATCCAGCCTCTGGAGCTGGGGGGCTTCTGCAGTGTTTTGGCAGAAGGGAGCTTTGCCTGCACTGCAGCCAGGCAATGGGGAGGAGCGGCAGTGGTCAGGTCAAAAGTACTGGCCCATCTCAGACCTAAGGTGGCCTGTTTCAACCAGATGCTCAAAAATTTTGCCAACTGCTGCTGTAGTAGGAAGGAAAAAATAGCTTTATACAAGCTGCTTTAGAACTCGGTAACTTGCTGGACAGTTGTATATCCACTTAAATGCTACTGGTATTTTACTGTAATACCATAGTATAAGATATAGTTTGTTGGTCTTACAATAAAATACTGCTGTGTGCCATATTTTATTTTTTTTCTTAATCTAGTTGGATTGTAGCTGGTACTCCTGGAAGTCTGCTTCTGTTATAGCATATTTGAATATAAATTAACTTCCCAAATCAGTATTTCAAAGTGGCTCCCACTGAGTCATTGAAGCAACTTCTACCATTCAACAACTGTCATGCTATAGGTGCCTTTGCTAAAACTACACAGTTGTCTTCAAGAGATGCTGTCTCAATCTCGGGATGTAGTTTGGTCTTAAAATAAGAAACCCAAGTGCATATATGCTGTTACACAAAAACCTAATTCAGGAAATGCTGCCACTCTGCCTCCTTTCCTATCTTAATGACATTCCGGAAACATTATGTAGCAATTACTGTTGTGTGTTCTGTGAATCATTGGAGAAATGGAATGATGTTACCTAAACAGTTTGTTTATAATTTGTCTAGTTCATTGTAGCAAGCAATTTTATTAATGTTAGTCAGGATGTAAATAAAAGCATCACAGTATGGGATAATGCTTTTCTGTTTTTTCTTATTGTACCATTTCATGGCTTGTGCTGTGGTTGCCCTTATCTGCTGTAGTTCTAATCCTTAGCATTCAAAAATGACAAGATTTTTTTCCTCTAAAGTGCAGTTTATTACAAACTCAAAATCCTAATCGGCACAATAGTATAATGCAGACATACTTCAGTTGACAGGCTTACTTAATACAATCTCCTTGAACAGACTGAATGAATAAAAAGTAGTTTGGCACATGGAATTGTGTAGGTAGGGTGACAGTTAGTCAGAAAGCCTAATGTTTCCCTTGCATATAAGGTGCAGTGGCCACACAATCCAAACATGCACATTTAATGTAGTTATGTCAGCTCATGACCAACTATGTATTACTTCCTATATTTTTATGCACACTACTACAGTGAACAGTTACTTTTATTGTGTGCATGTAAAAAAACAAAAAAAAACAAAAAAAAAAAAACAACAACAACAAAAAAGCTAGCCTAAACAGTTGAACATCAGCTCAGTTCAACAGCTGAGCCTAGTGCAGTTTCAGACTTCAAAACGCACAATAACTTTTTCCAACTGTCAGCTTTGAACCAACTTTTTGCTGGTCCAATGGAAATGTTCTCTGCTATATCTGAGAAACCAACACCATTCATAACTGCAGAGTTGTATTTTGTGTGTGTCAAAGATGAATTCAGCTCTACTCTTCCTTTTTAATGAGGGGCTTTTCTCATGAGGTATCTTAGCTAATGAGATTCTTCTGAAGAGCCACTGTTATTCTACACTTCATCTCCTTACCCCCTGCAGGATGTAAACTCCATATTGTTCTAGTTGGCAACAAGAATGTCACAATGTTTCACTCTAGTTGGGGGTTTTCCATTCAGCTTGGTTGGCTGTGTGACTTCACTCCAGAATTCTATGGTTGTCTGAGAAATCTTCCTCACTGAAAGTGTCCTGCAACAGATATAAAAGCCCTAGGTTTCAACTGAGGACCATTAACTTGATAACAGCTCATCTGCTAATATCCTAACTTTAATGAATAACTAGATGCCAGTCTTAGCTTGCTATGAGTCAAGTATAATCCAAGGTGAGTTTCTTAAATAACTCGTTTATGAAGTGGGTTAAGGAAGTTCTCTGTCTTGTGACACTGAAGGTGAACTTCCATTAGTTGAGTAGTAAAATATTACTTTTGCTACTTAACATTGCTCTGGCAATTGTGTCAGATATCTATGTTGGTCTGTGGGTTTCTTGTATAGCGGGGTCTGTATTTTACCATCTCATCTAAAAAGGAGATGTTGGTGCTGGAGAATTCAAGAGAAAGTCCGATGGAGAGGTGATGATTGTTGATTTCCACCAGAAATTGTCAGAGATTGCAGGTTTTCAGTCCAAATGATGAAGATGTCATCAATATATCTGAAGTATAGCAAGGGTTTGATGGTGCAGTCCTCGAGGGATTCTTCCAGGTGACTTATAAAAAGGCATACTTTGGGACTGGAGGAAGCAGTGGTTATTGAAAGTGAAGTTATACTTCAGATGAATGATGAAGATGTCATCAATATATTTGGACTGAAAACCTGCAATCTCCGATTTGATTTCCATAAGAAATTCAACAATCATCACCCCTCCATCAGACTCTCTTGAATACCGTAACATCAATATCTCCTTCTTTAGACAAGATGATCCTGGGGAAGATCTTAGAAAAGTTTATTAAAGAGGCCAT